GAGGAGGAGGAGGAGGAGCAGGAGGAGGAGGAGGAGGAGGAGGAGGACGAGGAGGAGGAGGAGGAGGGAGGGGAGGAGGAGGACGAGGACGAGGAGGGAGGAGAGGAGGGAGGAGGAGGAGGGAGGAGGAGGAAGGACAGGCGAGGGGGGGAAGAGGAGGAGGAGAGGAGGAGGAGGAGGAAGAGCTGGAGGGGGCGAAGGTGGCCGGGGCGCGCCCTGTGGCTGTCGAAGACGTCGCCGAGGTCGCCGCGGCGGGCGCGGGGAGAGGCGGGGCTCCGCCCGGCGCGCCTCGGCGAGGGGGCCGCGGCGCGGGGCGGCCCGCGGTCACTGGCCCGAGTAGGCGCGGCAGGACTTCATCCGCCTCTCATACTCCTCCTATCCTCCTACTCCTCATCCTAATCTCCTCCTCCCCTTCCCCTCATCATACCACCCCCTCCTACTCATACTCATCCTCCTCCCCTACCCCTTTCTCCCCCTAATGACTCCGACTACCTACTCATCCTCCTACCTCCTCTCCCCGCATCCTCCTCATCCTCCTCATCATCCTCCATCCGACTCATACTCCTACATACTCCTTCCTCTCTCCTCCTTCCTACCCCTCCTCCTCCTCCTCCTCCTCCGTGCTGTCGCGAGGGCGGCCCTCGCGCGACGCAGCGCGCCGAGGGAGAGAGGGGCGCCCGTCCCGGCCGAGCGGCGCGGCGAAGAGCCGCGGCCAAGGTGGCGCCGTAGACGGGGCCGCACTCGGCTGCCGCGAGCGCGACGAGGCAGGCGGTGGCCCCCGCGCGCGGCGTGCCGGGGGCCCCGTTCAGCACCGCGGCAGGGTTCCTGAGCTCCCTGGGCGGCGCGTTAGCCATGCCTGACACCGCCGCCCCATGGGCGACCGAAGGCGCGGCCCCAGCTCGCCAGTGCGATCGTTATCCTGCCCGCCGCCTCACGCAGGGTGCCAAACCGGCGTCGCCGGGCCCTCGGCTGCTTGAGCCGCTTCTTCTCGGCGCGACGCAGGGCCCGTGGGCCGCGCAGCTCGTGGCCGACATTCCGCGCACGAGGCTGCAGCGGGGCCCGCAAAGCCTGCGAGGTCCAAACGTCGGCGCAGAAGCTCCCGACCCCGCGCGCTGCCAGCGGCGAGGGCCGACTTCGCAAGCTGAAGAATAAGCCCCAAATCCTTGGCCTCGTGGGCGAATAGGGAGGCTAGCTACCCGGCGCAGCTCGCGCAAGTCCCGCGCGTCGGCGGAGACCAACTGCAGGCCCGCCTCCTCGACCAACGCCCTCGGCGTCATCGCGGGGCAGATCGCCCTGGCCCGCTGGGCCGCGCGGTAGGCGAGGCGGCGCAGCAAACACGCGGCATGGGCACAGCCCGCCAGCGTGTCCCGCAGCGCCACGAACTCAGCACAGAGGCCGCCACACGCCCCAACCCTTCCCGGCCGGGCGGCGCACGGCCAAGAGCACCCGGCCAAGGCGCGAGGGAAAGCCCCGGGCCCGAGCTCTCCGCGGCCAGGCGTGCGGGCGGACCACGCCGCAGCCCGTGAGCAAGTCCAGCACAGCGGCTGCCGCGTGCCCCCCCGGCAGGCCGCCCACCTCCCGCGTCGAGCTTGCCACCGCACGCGGGGTCCGAGGAGGGCGCGGCCTCCTCCGGCGCCCCGCACCTCGCCGCAGTTGCACCGCGCCTGCCACTCGGCTGCAAGGGGCCGTCGGACCCCGGCCCCAGACATGATGGCGTCGTAAAAAAATCAGGGCGGGCTGGTTTGGGCCATTTTCGGCCCTGGGGGGCCCTCGCCGGGCCTCGGGACCGTCAAAAAACGACTCAGGATGAAAAACCGGCCCCGGGGAAGGGGTTGGGACTTCCAGGGACGCCGTCCTGAAAAAATCAGGACGTCGCATGTCTGGGGCCCAGAGCCGCATCGGCGCGCGGCGGAGCACGAGCGGCCCGCGCCCCGCCACCGGGCTTCGGCAAAACCGCGCCCACCTCGCCGCAGACGCGGCCCCAGGGGGGGCTGCCAGCGCGCCCCGCCACCGCGAACATCGCCGCGAGACTTCGCCGCGCCTCGCCACTCATAGGTGCTCCAGGGCCGCCGGCGAGATGCGCGCGGGCACCCGCCGCCGCCTTCGCGCTGAGCGAGCGCGCGGGGGACCGCGCCCGCGCGAAGGGATCCGGGAGATAGCTACGGGCCACCTCCAGTTGCCCCGGCCTGCGACCCTCGCGATGCGGCGGGGGGCGCCGAACGAGGAACGATGGGGGCTCTGGGCCGGCCACGGAATGCCTCGATGAAGATCATGCGCACTTCCGACCTAACCGCGCGGAGCGGTCCGAACACCGGGGGCCTCGCCAGAGGCCCGAAGCGGCCCTTGTGCCGGGGCACCACCTGCAAGGCTCAAGCTGAAGCAACAGGTCTTCCCAGACGTGCGACGTCCTGATTTTTTCAGGACGGCGCCCCTGGAAGTCCCAACCCCTTCCCCGGGGCCGGTTTTTCATCCTGAGTCGTTTTTTGACGGTCCCGAGGCCCGGCGAGGGCCTCCCAGGGCCGAAAATGGCCAAAACCAGCCCGTCCCGATGTTTTTACGACGCCATCATGTCTGGGTTCGCCGAGGTGAGCAGACGTGCTGCTACCAACTCGCCCCGGCTGCGCTCGGTGTCGCGCGCGCCCCCCGTCGCCTCGCAGGCCATCCGGCCGTGGCGGGCCCTGGCGCCCACGACTTCTGGGGCACAGCGGGGACTTCGAGGCGCCGCTCGGCCGCCAGCGGCTTGGCGCGCCACGGCCGGCAGGTGCGCGCCGCGGCAGCCTGCCGCCCCTGGGGCGGCATCTCGCGACCCCCGTAAGCATGGCGCGCCCTGGCGGCGGAGCGTCCACGGCTCGCCGCCCCCCCAGGCGGTGGAACCTCCTCCTCCTGCATCCTTCCTCCTCCCCTCATCTCCACCTCCTCCTCCTCCTCCCTCTTCCCTCCCTCCTCCTCCCTCATACTCCTCCTCTCTCCTCCTCCTCCTCTTCTCTGCTCCCCTACTCCTCTCCTCCTCCTCCTCCGCCTCCGTACCGTCCTCCTTCCTCCTCCTCCTCCCTAAACCTCGCGCTCGCTCTCGGGCGTTTTTGGGGGGGGGGGGCGTTTTTTTTTTCGAGGACGGCGCGGCTCCCTGGGGCTGAACTGGCTCGCTGCCGCGCCAGCGAGGGCGCGGAGAAAACGAGTGCTCCACGAAGCACAAAGGACTTCAGCCAACTCGAAAAAAAACGGTAGAATACGAATAGTTTCGTAGACCTAGCTCGAGTAGCAGACCGAGTTCGGACCTCTAGATGCTTCAGACAAGCGCGCCTGATGATTCTGAATCGAATACGTGTGTGCCCGCTGCCTGAGCCCAGGATTCAAACGTCCACTTCAGCGACGTCAACCATGTGTTAGAGACCCGCACGCAGATGGATCGACACGTCTTCCTTGTCAGAACAGGGTGTCCGTTTGAAGGTACAACTGTCACCCCGATGGCTGGCACTCTAGACTCAACCCCTCCCCCTGCAGCGCGCGGCCGCTTCGGGCCCAAGATGCGAGCGCCAGCGTGTGGGCGGGGAACTCTGCTTCCAAACTGAAGGGGCCCTGGGACACACAAATAAATACACACAAATGAAATAATTCCCCATATTTTCCCATATTTTTGGGGGGTTTTGTCTTCCCCCCCACTTCCCATATTTTTGCATATTTTCCTGGGAGTCGACGATTAATTGTGTCTGTGTGTTTCTTTCCCTCCTGACAAACGCCTCGATCACAGCCTTCATGTCCACGTGAGATCATAACTTTGATTGGTGTGTAAGTCCCGGTCTGCGCCAATGTGGAGGTAATCGACGGGGGCGGCCGTGCTCGGCTTCAGTGGTCAGGCTCTGGACTGCCAGTCAGCCTTGCTGTTCAAAAGCGTCAAACCTTGTGACTTGTAGTTGGTCGGCGTCGACTATGTGATACAAGCTCGCCCACTGCTAGCCCTGTCTCCCCTGGCACGATGCCCGCGTCACCTTCAGCCGCGGTGGGATCGGAGCTGCCTTGGATTCTCTCCCCCAAGAGATTGTGATGATGGCCCTACGCTGCGATGCGTGATCTCGCGTAACATATTATTCGGTTTTCTCGCGCTCGGCAGCCTGATAATGCGGCGCGCTGACGGGCCTCGGGAACCAATGGCGGTCGATGTGGATGCATTCCCCGCCGCGGTACTAGAACAAATTGTACTTGACCTCGTCCATTCGTTCACCGACTCGCCCTTGCCATTGGTCGTCAATCGCTGGTTGGTATGCGATGGCGCAGTGGTGCTCGTAGAATGTATGTGCGCAACGATTAGCTGTTTTGGTGGTGTATACGATGCCGATATATCTCTCTGTAGGCGGCTATGTGAACCCTGTCGATAGCCGGTCAGGTGAGACGGTGGGTTGTACGTCTGGTCGCATGAAATCCCCATCAGGGTTCGGCTCCAATGGCTTCGATCCGGGCGGCCTCATTGGGGCCGCATTCCAGTGAGTGCCCCAACCCCTCTCTTGTTGATGTATCCCGTGATGCGCGCGCGCAGTGGTGGCAGCCTCGGGTCCTGCAGGTGGTCAGGTGAGCACTGTTGTGGTCGCATAGCCCCCTTCTCGCCGATCTGCGCTCTCCTCCCGCGGCGATGATTGCGGACCGTCTGGCCTTCGCCGCGGGGGGGAGTAAAACAACGAGTGCGTATTCCTCCTTCTACTCCTCCTCCTCCTGAGCCTTCTCTTGCTCCCTGTCCTCGGCCGCCTTTCCTCCTCCTCCTCCTCCTCCTCCTCCTCCTCCTCCTCCTTCCCACTTCCCCCTCCTCCCTCCTTCCTCCTCCTCCACCTCCTTTCTCCTCCTCCTCCTCCTCCTCCTCCTCCTCCTCCTCCTCCTCCTCTGAGATCCCGCGGCTCTGGAGGATGTCTCGGGCGCCACGGCCTTCTCAGAGCGCTCCCGAGCGCTCTGAAAACGCTTCGGAACGTTCTGGAGCGGATCAATCCTCGTCCCAGCCCCGTCCGATCGGGGTCTCCTTGTTGTTGTACGCGAAGATCTTGAACAAATTCGCGCACGTCTTCACCGCCGGCTTCCGCCCCAGCTCCACGGCGTGCTGGCCTCGGCGACGCCGGCGGCGACGCCAGCGGCGGCTGCACCGACCACGGCGACGACATGCGACGACGGCGGCGAGGCCCACGGCGAAGACGAGGCCGAGAACGAGGCCGGCGACGGCGACGACGACGGCGACGGGGACGACGGCGGCGGGGAGCCGCGGGGGAACCAGACCCGAGCGAGCCAGGGCCTGCTGCCGCATCGCCGACGGCGATGCGGGGCTGGCGGTGCGCACGCCGGGGGGAAAGGGGGGACCCAGACCCCCGACGTAATGAATTTTTCATTACGTCGACCCCAGAGTTCTCGACCCCTTCCCCAGGACCGGTTTGTCACCCTGAGTCGTTTTTTGACGCTCCCGAGGCCCGGTGAGGGCCCCCAGAGGCCGAAAATGGCGAAAAACCTCCCGTCGTGATTTTTTCATTACTCGAGGGGGTCTGGGGACGGCGGAAGGCTGCTCAGGAAGGGGCGGCTTCCCGGAAGGCGCCGGCCCCACGTCTCATAGACGAGGCCCCACGCCTTGCCATGACGCAGAGGGTGCCTCCTGTAAGAAGCCCTCTGCGCGTGGCCGATGAGCGCAGCCGGTCCCCGCAGTCGGCCTCCCGGGGAGGAGGAGGAGGAGGCGGAGGAGGAGGAGGAGGAGGAGGAGGAGGAGGAGGAGAAGGAGGATGATGATGATGAGGAGGAGGGGGAGGAGGTTGAGGAGGAGGAGGAAGAGGAGGAGGAGGAGGAGGAGGAGGCGGAGGAGGAGGAGCGGAGGCGGAGGAGGGGAGGAGGAGGAGGAGCGAGGAGGAGAAGGAGGAGGAGATAGGAGGTAGGACGGGAGGAGGAGGAGGAGGAGGGCGCACCTGCCCGACGCGCGCGCCGCCGCCCGCACAACGAGGGGGGGGGGGCAGGCCGGGCAACGGCGGAGGTGGGCGGCGGGCGCCCCGTGGAGGGGAGGGGGCGCCCTGCCCCAGACGATGTTCTGCTCGGGGGAGGAGCGGCGGGCGCCTCGCGAGAGGGGGGGGCCCACCCCAGGCGCTGTGTTGGGAGGGGCCCAGGGGCGCACAAGTAGAGAGGGACACCGACCCCAGGAGTCCCGCCCTGCTTCCACATCTTGCCTGGCCGCCGCTCGGGCGTCCATTCCCCGCGCCGTTCTTTTCGGTTTCGTGCGTGGCCGCCTCGCCACATGAGCCAGGATGCTCCTCGATGGCCCTCGCCGGAGGACACGTGCACGCGTCCGAGCGATGCCAAGCTTTCCCTTTCAACTGCGCACGGCACGCGCGGACTGCCTGCGGCGCCACCTCGGCCCCAAAGTCGCCCAACGGGGCCCCCGTCGGGCCCCCGGAGCCTCGCGGGGCCCGCCGTCGCCCTCTGGAGGCTCCGCCGCTCCCCACAGCTCTTTGGCAGACGCTTTGGCTCCCGGGTGGAGCGCGCACGGTGGGGCGGCAAGCGGCAGCGTCGGGCCACGGAGGCGGTAACTTTCCAGTCGGGCGTGCGCCCCCTACAGGGAGATTTTCGACGAAAAATGAAAGATACGCAGAGGATGTTCCAAAGCGGTCAAGCGATACTCGAAAATCGTCCCCTGACTATTTCCTTGCTAATTTTGAATATTCCCCCCGGTGGAGGGACAGGCCCGACCTAACGGTAAATCAAAAGCCCCCCCGGGGCGCACGGCGGGACCGCGCGGCCGCGGCACCCTCGCCCTGCCGCCGGGCACCGCCGGCGCTCAGCAGCAGCCCTTCCTCTCCCCGGACTTGGTCTTGACCTTCTTGCTCCCGTCCTTGCTCTTCTTCTCCTCCTCCTCCTCCTCCTCCTCCTCCTCCTCCTCCTCCTCCTGCTCCCACCTCCCCGGCGTCTGCTGAGAGCCGCCTGCGGAGCCAGGGGCAGTGAGGAGCACGGCGAATTTGTGTTCTGCGGCTGCCGCAGGAGACGAAGAGGGAGGTCGACGCCGCCGCGTCGGCGGCGGCGTCGACCGCCGCCGTGGCCGCCTCCACGACGGGCGCCGCCCCGCCCATGGCCGCAGCGTCCGCGTGGATTTTCTCCGCAGTCACGGGATGCCCTGCCATGAGCTTCTGGAACATCTCCGGGCGCCGCGCAGTCCCGCGGTTCCGCGGTTCCGCGGGCGGTTCCGCGCATGAACATGAGCTCCGGGCGGTTCCGGGCGGTTCCAGGCGGTTCCGCGGGCGGTCCCGCGGTTCCGCGGTTCAGCGCATGAACATGAGTTCATGCGCTGCGGTTCCGCGGGCGCCGCGTACATCACCTCCTGCTGGGGCTCCATGGGCACGGCGGCCGACATCGTTCGGGCGTGGTTCTGCGGAGAGGCGGGGGGGCAGCAAGAAAGCACCCTGGGAAGGGGGGCCAGCGGAGCCACGACGGCACAAACGGCTTGAGCCAAAATGACTACGGACCCACCATGTTTCCATATTTCCTGGAGTTTCGTTTCCCCCTCTACTTTCCACATGTTCCCATATGTCCTTGGGGGTCGCAGTTTATGACCGTGTCTGTGTGTGCGCACGCGTGTGCGTGTGTGTATATATATAGGTGTGTTTGTTTGTGTGTGCGTTTGTTTGTTTGTTTGTTTGTGTGTGCGTGCGCGCGTGCGCGCGTGCGCGCGTGCGCGCGCACGCGCGCGTTGTGTGTGTGTGTGTGTGCGCGTGTGCGCGTGTGCGCGTGTGCGCGTGTGCGCGTGTGCGCGTGTGCGCGTGTGCGCGTGTGTGCGTGTGTGCGTGTGTGCGTGTGTGCGTGTGTGCGTGTGTGCGTGTGTGCGTGTGTGCGTGTGTGCGTGTGTGCGTGTGTGCGTGGGTGCGTGTGTGCGTGTGTGCGTGTGTGCGTGTGTGCGTGTGTGCGTGTGTGCGTGTGTGCGTGTGTGCGTGTGTGCGTGTGTGGGTGTGTGGGTGTGTGGGTGTGTGGGTGTGTGGGTGTGTGGGTGTGTGGGTGTGTGCGGTCGTGCGTGGCTGTGCGTGCGTGCGTGCCGTGGTGCGTGCGTGCGTGCGTGCGTCGTGCGTGCGTGCACGCGCGCGCGCGTGCGGGCGCGCGGGCGCGCGCGTGCGTGCGTGCGTGCGTGCGTGCGTGCGTGCGTGCGTGCGTGCGTGTGTGTGTGTGTGTGTGTGTGTGTGTGCGTGTGTCTGTGTCTGTGTCTGTGTCTGTGTCTGTGTCTGTGTCTGTGTCTGTGTCTGTGTGTGTGTGTCTGTGTGTGAGCGTCCAAAACGGCCTCGGCGAGGAAGCCATACTCATTGGTTTTACTCTGGTTTTGGCCCCATTTTGGCCTCCTGGGGCGGGGACGCTCATTCATGCTCCCCTCTTGTTTGATCGATCTCCTCCAAGATGGCCCCAAGAAGCGCCCAGGAGGCCCTAAGAGGTCCGAAGATGGCCCCAAGATGGCCCCAAGAGGCCCCCAAGAGGCCTCCCAAGAGACCCCCAAGAGGCCCCAAGAGACCCCCCAGAGGCACCCAAGATGCTCCAAGAGGCCTCGGCGAGAATGCCAAAACGGCCTCGGCGAGGAAGCCATAATCATTGGTTTTACCCTGTTTTGGCCCCATTTTGGCCTCCTGGGGCGGGGACGCTAATTAATGCTCCCCTCTTGTTTGATCGATCTCCTCCAAGGTGGCCCCAAGAAGCGCTCAGGAGGCCCCAAGAGGTCCCAAGATGGTCCCACGAGGCCCCTAGGGCCTCCCAAGAAACCCCCAAGAGGCCCCAAGAGACCCCCCAGAGGCACCCAAGACGCTCTAAGAAGCCTCGGCGAGAATGCCAAAACGGCCTCAGCGAGGAAGCCAGAATCATTGGTTTTACTCTGGTTTTGGCCCCATTTTGGCCTCCTGGGGCGGGGACGCTAATTCATGCTCCCCTCTTGTTTGATCGATATCGTCTAAGATGGCCCCAAGAAGCGCCCAGGAGGCCCCAAGAGGTCCCAAGATGGCCCCAAGATGGCCCCAAGAGGCCCCTAAGAGGCCCCCAAGAGGCCTCCCAAGAGACCCCCAAGAGGCCCCAAGAGACCCCCCAGAGGCACCCAATATGCTCCAAGAGGCCTTGGCGAGAATGCCAAATCATTGATTTTACAAAGGTTTTAGTCACATGGTGGCCTTTTGGGAGGGGGCAGTGATTGAGATCAAGAGCGCCTGGGAAGGCCCAAGATGACCTCCAAGATGGCTCAAGATATCCCAAGATGTCTCATAATGGCTTCCTCAGTGTGCTGCCCACTTCCCTGATCGGGGCAATTCCTCTGGGCATCGTTTCTGGATGGGCTGGTGGGGATTCTTTTTTTTTACAGCCGCAGGCGGAAGCGCCAGCGGCGGGAGGTCGCGGGCGGGCTACGGCCGCTGGTGGGGGATTCGCGAAGCGTCAACAAGTCGTTGGGAGGGGGAATGGCGGGCGCCTCGCGGGGCGGAAGGGGCGCCCACCCCAGACGATCTTGCTCGGCGTCTTCCTCTTTTGCTGCCTTGCCCCGCTGCCTTCGCCTCTCTGGGGGGGGGGGGGCCGGCTGCGGGCCCCCCAGGCCAGGGGGCCCTCGAGGGCGCGGACATCGGGAGCGGGGCGCTGCCCCTCTGCCACCAGGACCACACAGGGGATCCCGAGGGGGACCACGCGCGCCCGTGGAGAGGGAGGCCGGGGCCCCCCGGGGCCAGCGACGCCGCCGGCGAGGGCAACGAGGACACCCGCAACGACGGCGACGGAGAGAGCGCAGGCGGCGAGGACAGCGGCGAGGACGGCGATGGCAGCAGTCGACGGCAGGGGGGGAGGACGAGGACGAGGGCGGCGGTGAGGATGGCGACGAGGAGCTGGCGCCCGGAGGGGGCCGGCAGTGCCCGCCCCCCGTCTCCCTTCGGGCGTAAAGGGGGACGTGGGTGGGCATGCCATCGCTCGGACGTCCATTCCCCATGCGTTTATCGATTTCGTGCACGTTTTGGTTGTTAAGTGGTTCAGGATGCTCCTCGATGGTCCTCACCGAAATAAGCAAACGCCCACGTCCGAGCGACGCCAAGGGGGAGGGGAGGCAGAGAGGCCCGGATGGGGAGATGTGGGGCTGGGGGCCCCAACCTGTTCCCACCCCCTGCGCTCTCTCTCTCTCTCTCTCTCTCTCTCTCTATATATATATATATAGTGGTCCGCCGCCAAGAAGTATCATGGAGGGCCCTGACGACCAGAAGACAATTGCAGGACTGGAGCCACAGTCTGTTGCGCAATCGAAAAAACGTCAGCTCTGACCAGCACGCAGAACGGATTCATCCAAAACTTTGTTAAATCGCAGGGTCGCGCGGACCGCTGTCAACAGACCGTTTCCCATTGCAGGGGGAACGCTTCGCCTGGAAGGCCGCGCCCCGAATCCGCCGCGCACCGTCCACGGCGCGGCGCCGACGACCCAGAACACGAACCCCCAAGCTGACTCCCGGCACCCCCGCTCGTTCCGTCCCCCCCGGGCTCGCCCGGAGGGCCCCGATGAGGGCCCCGAAGAGCCCCCCAAGACTCTCCCCAGTTTCTGGCCCCGGGAGGGGCCCGAGGGCGAAACTTAAGGGAGGTGTTTTTGGGCCCCCGGCGATGGGCCTCGAAGCCCATTTTTTGAAACCCGCTCACGAGGCGTCGAGGAGGTGCTGCCGCGCGAAACGGCGCCAGGAGGGGGCGTGAAAACCCTCAGACGGATCCAAGATGGCCCGAAACAGGATGTTGTATTGGACTGAGCACTTGGGGCGCTGTTGAAAGTCTTCCTCGTTCCCCCTCCTGCCCCCTCCTCCTCTCTGCTCAGGGTCCTCCGAAGATCGCTTAGCCGCTCTTCGCCGTCGTGCTTCACGATTGGCTCATCAGCGCCCTTCCTTCAACCAACTCCCCCGGGCATCGCTTCGTGGCCAAATCTGTGTGTTCCCTCGTCGTCACATTGTCCGCCCGGGCCGGGTGGGTGGGTCAACTAGCTCCACCCCGCGCCGGAATTCCTCTAGCTCATCGATGCCGAGGAGCTCTACGAGGTATGCCTCCAGAGATTCTATCTCATGGCAAGGGTGCGCGTGCTCGCCTTCCTCCTCCTCCTCCTCCTCCTCCTCCTCCTCCTCCTCCTCCTCCTCCTCCTCCTCCTCCTCCTCTCCCTCCTCCTCCTCTCTCCTCCTCCTCCTCCTCCTCCCTACTCCTCCTCCTCTCCCTCCTCCTCCTCCTCCTCCTCCTCCTCCTCCTCCTCCTCCTCCTCCTCCTCCTCCTCCTCCTCCTCCTCCTCCTCCTCCTCCTCCTCTTCCTCCACCTGTTCACGGCTCGCTCACGGGCCGGCCGCCGCCGCGCCCCCCCGAGCACGGCAGCTCGCCTCAGGATATCGTTCCTGCACGGGCCGGCGCGGACGCGCGAAGCGTCCAGGATCTTGAAGCCGTCGAGGGCCGAGGATTTCTTGGATCTGCGCTGGACCCCCCTCCCTGGCAGGAGCCTCCCTGGCGCTTGGAGCGCGCCATGGGGGGGTGGGGTGCTGGAGCTGGCCATCGCTCGGACTCCCATTCCCCGTGTTTTTGTTCGGCGTCGTGCGTGATTTCTTCGCCAAATGATCAAGGATGCTCCTCGATGGTCCTCGCCATGCACACGTCCGAGCGAAGCCGTCGAGGGGAGGGCGCGCGCGCGCGGCTGCGCACGCGGCGCGCGAGGCCCGCCTGCGGCGGCACGCCCTGGCAGGCAGCTCGGGAGGAGGGCCCCAGGAGCCGGAGGCCCAGCCCGTGCGCCGCGGGAGGCGCGGGAGGGCTGCTCCGAGAGGGGCCCGAGGAGAGGGGGAGGGGGGGAGAGCGCGAAGAGGGGCGAGGGCGACGGAGGAGGACGAGGAGGGAGGAGGGCGAGGAGGGGGGAGGAGGACGAGGAGGACGAGGAAGGAGGAGGACGGCGATGGAGGAGAGCGAGGAGGACGGAGGACGACGAGGGAGCAGGACGAGGAGGACGAGGAGGGATCCTCCGTTCTCTCCTGCTGCCGTTTGGGTCTCTCGCGCAGTACTGCGTGGACTGATGCCGTCTTAGGAAGGCAACTGCTGGGAAGTCTTCGCCGGAATGATGACGGAGGATGAAGCCCCATTGGGGGGGCACTGCGCCAGATTAGGCCGCCGATGAAGCGGGATTGAAGCCCGAGCTAGCGGGATCCAGCGGGACGCAGCGGGAAATGAGCCAGACTGTGCCGGATGTCGGACCAGGGCGAAGCCAGAAATCGACCTCCCAAGAGTTGCATCCGACGCCGTTGTCCTTGCCTCGTGCTGGGGTGAGGGCATCGCCCGCGATAGCGTGAGCCCCCGAGGAGGAGGAGGAGGAGGAGGAGGAGGAGGCGGAGCGTGCTCAATGGAGGAGGAGGAGGAGGAGGAGGTTCACGCCCGGGTGGCTGCTGTCTCGGCAGGCCCGCACATCCTGAGTGGTTCTTGCGGGCCCGGCCGCCGAGCGCATGCTAGCTGTGCGCTCTCTCCGCCTCGTCGCCGCGCGCGAGGCCGCGACCGACAAAAAAGCGTGTGCCTGTGTGTGTGTGCGTGTGTGTGTGTGTGTCTGCCAGTCTGTGGGTACCTTTGTATGTGTGTAGATGTGTGGCTGTGCTTGTTTGTTTGTTTGCTCGCACGTTCGTTTGTTTGTTTGTTTGGTTGGTTGTGTGTTTGCGTGTTTTCGTTTGTAGTTGTGTGTTTGCGTGTTTGTGTACATGCGTGTGCGTGTAAGCAGCACGGGAGAGGCGGGAGCACCGCTGGACGTTGTCATGTGAGAGGGTACTCATATTGAGCACGTGTAAAGGAGGATGGAGAGGGGAGGCGTGGGGGAGGAGGGCGAGGAGGCGAAGGACGAGGATGAGGAGCACGAAGATGAGGAAGACAAGGGAGAAGGATTTGGAGGAGAAAGAAATGATATACAGAGGAGGGGACAGCAGGTGCGGAAGTTCGAGGGAGTATGAGAGATGAAGATAGCAATAATATGATGCTGCCCATCAAGAAAAAGACCCACGCAACGAAGGTCGACGAGATCACCCGCGTCGCCAGCGGCTGTAACGAAGCGGGTGACACACTGCCGTGGATGGCTATGGGAGAATGGAATGCGTTGAGGGCGGAGCTCCCAATGCCGCTGGAGCAATGCCAGCGTGTGATGGTACACGAGGGGGGAAGCAATCGATTTCGCTCCATGTGAGACAATCACACCCGAAGCAACCGATATCCCAACTTAGTAGGGTAATCCTTTTACAGTACCAGTGAGAGCCCACCAGAGCAAACACTGCTCGGGGGAGGGCACTGATACGCATGATGAGCACGAGAAGGACGAGGAGGAAAGGACGCGGACGAGGGCACGGATGTGAGGGGCAGGCGGAGAAAGCGGGTGAGTGGGAGGGTGCGGAAGAGGATTCGGAAAAAGGATGAGGAGGAGTAAGAGACGGAGGCGGAAGAGAAGGAGAAAGAGGAGCAGGTGGAGGAGCAGGCAGAGGGGATGGATGGGTGCACTGCAAGGGAGGGACGAGGAGGCCAAGGCCCTGGCCCAGGTAGAACTGCACAAAGCCGGACAGCGCCTGCGTGTCAGCGGCGCTACCGCAACGGCACACGAAGATCCGCTCGTCCATCTCGGGGGCGCGATCGCGCCGCCGCGTGGCGGAGGGGGGGGGAGGGAAGAGGAGGGAGAGAGGAAGAGGAAGGAGGGAGGAAAGGGGAGGGGGGGAGGGAGGGAGAGAGGGAGGAGGGAGGGAGGAGAAACACAGCGCAGATCAGCACCAGTTTCTCAGACAGCCTGGCGCGCGGCAGGCCTCATGCCAGGGGGGACGGCACGCCGATGCCGTGGACCTCGACGTCGGAGAAGGCATGCCCTTGTGGGCAAGCACCGTATACTTGTGGATGCCATGACAATGGACACTCTAATAATCCTATCAGTAAGTAAAGATGTGTTTAACATGTGTAAACCATGTCCTAAACATGTATCAACAATGTGAATTTTGAACATATTTAAAACATGTTTGAAACATGTTTATACATCTGGAAATTATTTGGCAGCATGCTTCCTCTCCATTAACCGACTCCCACAACCGTATGCAGTCTCCGCCCCAAGAGCCGACTCTGACGCAGGAGGAGTCGAAGATGACCGTGGAGAAGCGTGCCAGGGAGGATCGACAGTATCCTTCTCAGGGAGGGCAGAGTCGCTCGCCGTGCGCGGAGGCGTGGCAAGCCAGGTGGTATCGCCAGATGCCTGTCCAGTGGATCTGCGACATCTTCCACAAACAGTGCCTCCGTCCATGGTATCTGCGTTTTCCCCATCGGGCGCTGGTCGATGCGCCGCAGGACGTGATGAGGACCGTGGCGCAGACCAGCAGCTCTCTGGTGAGGCAATCAACGTGGACGGTTGTCGCATTGCACGGGCTCGCAGCAGGAGAGGAAGGTACCATCAGCGTCAGCCTCGGACCGGAGTGAGGTGACCAAAGCAGGATCGGACGCGGTGTGGGGCGGCAAGTCCCGAGTTAAGCCTGCGCGTGTCTGTAGGAAGACGAAGTACTGGAAAACCATCAGCACGATGCGCCCGATGTCAAGGAGAGTACATAGGAACATCTGGAAGATAACGGACCAGAGGCTTCGCAAACTTCAGGGCCCGGTACGCCGCGCGGACATAGGCGACAGCAACATTTTCCAGCGCAATTTTTGGAGAAGGAGGAGGGTAAGGGGAAAAGGAAGGGGACGCGGGCAGCCGATGATCAACGTCCCTCGAGTCGCTACTCAGTGCAATGCCGAGGTCCTGGCATGAGCGCGCACTCTGCGGCAAGAGCCCAATTGTGCGTGATGGAATGCTCCACGCTGGGACAAACTAGCTGGACTGCAGATTTCTACGTCCACACGGCGGCCCATCGACCTGAGTACGTACGGCTATGCCACGCCACTGGAAGGGAACTCGCGCGTGCGTTCCCCTTTCCGGTTAAAACGGCGGGACTCGCACAGGTGCCCAACGCGATTGGGGGAGTGCAGAAGAGGAGGAGGAGGAGGAGGAGGAGGAGGAGGAGGAGGAGGAGGAGGAGGAGGAGGAGGAGGAGGAGGGGGGGGAGGAGGGGAGGAGGTGGGGCATGGCTGCGTGCCCCAGGGTGGCGGGCATGAGGTTGCACTCATGTTTCCAACGAGTTAGCTGTCAAAATCTCACCGTGAGCGTTGTTTCAGTTCGCTGCATTGTGCGCCGGCTGCTCTTGGCACTGGCTCCTCTGCTTCGGCATCGAGGCTTTCGACAAACTTGTAGTTCTTCGTACATGGGCGACGCCAACATGACGAGGGACAGGCTGGCCTTCGAAATAATTGAATATTGGAAATAATGGGGAAGCCTTGTGCGAAAGAATTGAATATTGGACCGCCTCGCTCAGGCCCCGACTTCACGAATAGCGGGGGCGGCGCACGTACGTTGAGCGCCTCTTCCGCTGTAGCTTTCAAGGGCATGCAGAATGAGTAATGATGAAGACGATCAGGCCCAGCTCACGCGAACATACATCGCTCGCGGCCGCCAGCACAGAGAATGCGGGAAGATGGACAGGCGAGAACAAGCCCAAACAAGCAAAACCGGCCAGGGAACGGGCTCCACGGGCCACCCGAGGGGCCGAGCGACCGAGGGGGCGGCCAACGAGCCCAGGGCAACCGACGGAACAACGAAAACATACCAAAACAACCAAAACCGGCCAGAGAAGCAAAAACCACCGACGGACAAACGAGAACCACCAGAAACAATCAACGTCTTCCAGGGAAGTGACCCCCAAGCCCTAGAAGTAGATTAGGTTTGCGCCCAACCCCAGGAACAATCCCAAATAGCCATTTCTTGAAGCAGGAAGGCGCGTAAAGTAGATTGGGATCTGGGAATCCAAGAATACCTACTTTCAACGACCAATGAATAATGGTGAAAACACGTCTCAGGCAGCACGACTGGCCCGCCCTGCCGACACGCCTGTGGGTGCGACGGGGAGGCGTTACGTACAGTGAGAACGGAGGGAGGGGGCGGAGGAGAAAGTGGAGGAGGAGACGGATGAGGAGGAGGAGGAGGAGGAGGAGGAGGAGGAGGAGCACAGAGGAAGAGGAGGAGAAGGAGTAGTAGGAGGAGGAGGAGGAGGAGAGGAGAAGGGAGGGAAGACGAGGACGGGGCGGAGGAGGAAGAGAAGAGAGGATGAGGGGAGGACAAAGGAGGGAGGAGGAGGAGGGGAGGAGGAGGAGGAGGAGGAGGAGGAGGAGGAGGTGAGAGAGGAGAGAGGAGAGAGGGAGGAGGAGGAGGAGGAGGAGGAGGAGGAGGAGGAGGGAGGAGGAGGAGGAGGAGAGGAGAGGAGGAGGAGGAGGAGGAGGAGGAGGAGGAGGAGGAGAGAGGATAGAGGAGAAAGAGGAGAGGAGCAAGAGCAGGACGAGGATGATGGTGATGATGATGCTGCTGCTGCTGACGATGATGATGATGAGGAGGAGGAGGAGGAGGAGGAGGAGGAGGAAAGGAGGAGGAGGAAAGGAGGAGGAGGACGAGAAGAGCGGAGGAGGAGGAGGAGGAGGAGGAGGAGGAGGATCAGGAGGAGGAGGAGGACGATGAGGAGGAGGAGGAAGGAGGAGGAGGAAGAGGATGATGAGGAGGAGCAGGATGATGATGATGATAATGCTGATGATGATGATGATGATGATGATGATGAGGAGGAGGAGGAGGAGGAGGAGGAGGAGGAGGAGGAGGAGGACCAGGAGCAGAAGCAGGAGGAGGAGGAGGTAGGAGGAGGGAGGAGGAGGACGCAGCTGATGGTAAAGTTCGGAGTCACGCCACAGGAAATGTTGCTTGCCGAGAGTTAGTCACCACAAATTAAAATACACACTTACGCGACCAGCCTAAAATCACACACGTGTGAAATCTCCCTCTTGCTCATCATCGGCAGGGTGCAGACGTTCGGGCGACAATATTCGGTATCGCCTATTATGGCTGGAGGAGGGCTGCGCCAGCACACCAATGAGGGGCCCCGGCAGGCGAGCCGACGAGCGGACCAGAGGACCAAGGGGGCCGACAGGGACCGACGGGCGAGCCGACGGGACCGAGGGCCATGAAGAAAGAGGACGAGCGGGAGAGGAAGCAGACACGAACACAAAAACGGCGCTACAGAACTCGTGCCAGAATCACTGATGCTTGCCGTCCAGGGCGGAGCCTTTCCATATAGCTAGCGGGTGTCAACGGCCGCTTCGGCCTCGCATCAGGGCGAGACGCGGTGCGCCAACACGTCAGAACCCAATCGGTCCGCACCGCCACGGCACGGCGGGGGGGGGGGGACCGAAGGGCCCAGAGCGAGGTTCAGCCCATTAAGGCATAGCCACCCCTAGGGCCGCCCTAGGCCTTGAGAGCGTCGATCCAGGCGCTCAGCTTCTCCTCCATGTAGCCCGCAGGGACTTGGCCGCTCGTGACCTGGCAGCCAAGGGCACGGTACGAGTCGACCAGCACGTTCTCCTTCGTCGGGTCCGTCACCGAGAACACGATCTTGATGTACCCCTCCTGGTCGCAATTCTCGAGGCGGCACATCCTCACGAAGTCGGGCGGGTCGCCAGCTATGGCAGTCGCCCACGCCTCGAGGGTCTGCCTGTTGACCTTGCCCGCCTCCTGCTCCGCCAGCGCCTCCACCGTGGCCGCGAAGACGGCGGGGGATCGGAAGGCCCAGCTTGCGCGGCTCCTTCGTCATGTCCTCGATCCCCTTGTTGGCCGCCGCGTATGATGTCCTGCCCAGTCCAGTCTTGGCCTCCTTCGCCGCTTCCCTCAAGCTCTTGCTCTGCGCCTTGAGGTCCGCCGCGTTGGCCGAAAACCCCGTCCCTTCCTCCTGCAGGTCCTGCATCGTCTTCACGATGGGGCTGCTGTCCCCGACGATGAGGGTGCGCGCGAGGATGCCCCACATCGCGCGGCTCTTCTGGGTCAAGGCAGTCACCTGCACAATAAGAGGAGGAGCTCGCGCAGCCCGCCGTCCTTCCTCGTCAGCTTCCTCTCCTTGTCGGCTGCTCCCCGATGGCGGCCACGCCGCACCGGCCTCGGCTCGGCAGCCGCTCCCTCCGTGCCCGCTTTGCCGCGAGCCACTCCTTCGCCTTTCTCGCCCTTCTGCTTCTTGCGGTCCTCGTGCGCGTCGCTCTTGGACCCTCCGCCACCAGTCGCCGACGCAGCCGAGGAGGAGGAGGAGGAGGAGGAGGAGGAGGAGGAGGAGGAGGAGGAGGAGGAGAGAGGAGAGAGGAGAGAGGAGAGGAGAGATGAGAGAGAGGAGAAGAGGAGGAGAGGAGACAGGAGGGAGGAGAGAGGGAGGAGGAGGCGAGGAGGAGGAGGAGGAGGAGAGGAGGAGGAGGAGGAGGAGAGGAAGGAGGAGGAGGAGGAGGATGATGAGGAGGAGGAAGGGGGGGAGGAGGAGAGGAGGAGGAGGAGGAGGAGGAGGAGGAGGAGGAGGAGGAGGAGGAGAGAGGATAGGAGAGAGTAGAGAGGAGAGAGGACGGAGGAGAGAGGGAGAGAGGAGAGAGGAGAGGGAGGAGGAAAGAGGAGGAGAGAGGAGACAGGAGGGAGGAGAGAGGAGAGAGGGCTGGCGCGGCCCCTGGGGGGAGGGCCTTCGTGATCTTCCGGGACGCCCGGTTCGCGACGTATTGCCCAGTGGAGGTGCGGGTGTCCGCGCCTGGGCTCCCGAGCGGGGGACGCGCGGAGTGGGGAGGGGGAGGAGGAGGAGGAGGAGGAGGAGGAGGAGGAGGAGGAGGAGGAGGAGGAGGAGGAGG